CTACCTACACCTTGTGGCTAATAGCCACTGATGGGCCTCTGCTCCACATAAGAACATAAGAGAAGCCAATGTTGGACCAGGCCAGTGGCCCATCCAGTCCAACACTCTGTCACACAGTGGCCAAAAACACCAGCTGCCATCAGGAGGTCCAGCAGTGGGGCCAGGACACTAGGAGCCCTCCCACTGTTGCCCCCTCCCCCCAAGCACCAAGAATACAGAGCCAGTTTGGTGTAGTGGTTAAGTGTGTGGACTCTAATCTGGGAGAACCGGGTTTGATTCCCCACTCCCCCACTTGCACCTGCTGACGTGACCTTGGGTCAGTCACAAGCTCTGGCACAGCTGTCCTTGAAAAAGAGCAGTTTGTGTCAGAGTTCTCTCAGCCCCACCTACCTCACAGGGTGTCTGTTGTGGGGAGGGGAAGGGAAAGGAGTTTGTAAGCCACTCTGAGACTCCAAGTGAAGGGCGGGGTATAAATCCAATCTCTTCTCTCTTCTCTTCTCTTCTCTTCTCTTCATCCCTTGCCCCAGACTGAGCGTTCCTATCTATACCTTGTGGCTAATAGCCTCTGCTCGATATGCTAATCCAATTCCCTCTTGTAGCTGTCCATGCTTGTAGCCGCTGCCACGTCCTGTGGCCGTGAATTCCATGTGTTAATCACTCTTTGGGTGAAGAAGGACTTCCTTTTATCCGTTCTAACCCGACCGCTCAGCAATTTCATGGAGTGCCCACGAGTTCTTGTATTGTGAGAAAGGGAGAAAAGTACCTCTTTCTCCACCTGCTCTGTCCCATGCATAATCCTGTAAACCTCGATCATGTCACCCCTCAGCCGTCGTTTCTCCAAGACAACTGACTGCCCTCCACTTCCTCCCAGTGCTCCTTTTGCAAGTAGCATGTCCAAGACGACGGAGACCTACGTGGCACAGAGAACCACTCCCGGGACCAAAAGTTATACAGCATCCATTAAAAAGAAAATGTTCGCAAGCCTACTTTTAGCACAGCTTGGTCTCTGAAAAAATGTGCATGCCCACAGACGCTTATCCCCGGAATTAGACTTTGGTGGTCCATCCAGTTAGCAGAGTTTCGTGGACCAACAGTCCATCCTGATGGTGATTCCAGCCAGATTCCCTTTTATCTACTGCTGGGTGTTGCTCAGAGCCAGCTCGGTGTCGTGGTTAGGAGCGCGGACTCTAATCTGGGAGAACCAGGTTTGATTCCCTCACTCCTCGACATGCAGCTGCTGGTGTGACCTTGGGTCAGTCACAAGTTGTCTCAGAGCTGTTCTCTCAGGAGCAGTCCTCAAAAGAGCTCTCTCAGCCCCACCTGCCTCTCAGGGTGTCCGCTGTGGGGAGAGGAAGGGAAAGGAGATGGTAATCCGCTCTGAGAGTCGTTTGGGTAGTGAAAGGTGGGGTATAAATCCAGTCCCTTTTCTTCTTCTCTTCTGAATTAAGATGTAGCCCTCTGCTAATGACGGCTGCTCAACACCCCTGTGGATTCTGCAGCCTCCCACTTTCTAGGAATGCAGTGGAGACATTTGTCTTGGTTGTCAGTGCTCGGCAGCCGCTCTCAAAAGGGCTTCCAACTTGGGAAACGGTTGTGTCGACTCGCACACCCTGTAATGGGATTATCCCAGAATCCCCCCCCCTTGTGCAATGTCCCCCCCCGTAATCGGGCCTCACAGACCCCTCTTTGTGTCATTCAGCGGGAAGCACGGCTCGCTTAGAGAATGGGTTACTGGAGAAAAAGCTGGCAACATAAAGCTAGGGAAACGCGAGAGTGACGCAGAGTGGATGGAAGCAGATGGGAAAAGCCGCTCTTC